TGACGCCCCCGCTCTTCTCCCCTGCCTTCACTCCTTGGGCTACTCCCCCCCATGGGAGCACTGCTGCTTCTCCCTGTGCTCGCACTGATGGTGAGAAGGTGGAGGGGGGCGGGGCAGGATGGGAGGGAATGCTTGTGTGTGACTGACGCATGGGGCCCTGCGCACCCCCTCGCCCTCGCTCTTCTCCCCGGCCTTCACTCCCTCGGCTACTCCCGCCCACGGCTCCACTGCTGCCTTTCCCCGTGCTCGCACCGCCGGAAGGTGAGAGAAGAGAGGTTGGGAAGGGTGGGTGAGAAACGGGCGTTGTCTGAGGCATGGGCCCTGGTGACCGCCTCGTTTTGAGGCGCCTCAAAACTAGAAGGGTGGGTGGGAAACAGTCGTTGTTTGAGGCATGGGCCCTGGTGACCGCCTCGTTTTGAGGCGCCTCAAAACTAGAAGGGTGGGTGGGAAACAGTCGTTGTTTGAGGCATGGGCCCTGGTGACCGCCTCGTTTTGAGGCGCCTCAAAACTAGAAGGGTGGGTGGGAAACAGTCGTTGTTTGAGGCATGGGCCCTGGTGACCGCCTCGTTTTGAGGCGCCTCAAAACTAGAAGGGTGGGTGGGAAACAGTCGTTGTTTGAGGCATGGGCCCTGGTGACCGCCTAGTTTTGAGGCGCCTCAAAACTAGAAGGGTGGGTGGGAAACAGTCGTTGTTTGAGGCATGGGCCCTGGTGACCGCCTAGTTTTGAGGCGCCTCAAAACTAGAAGGGTGGGTGGGAAACAGTCGTTGTTTGAGGCATGGGCCCTGGTGACCGCCTAGTTTTGAGGCGCCTCAAAACTAGAAGGGTGGGTGGGAAACAGTCGTTGTTTGAGGCATGGGCCCTGGTGACCGCCTAGTTTTGAGGCGCCTCAAAACTAGAAGGGTGGGTGGGAAACAGTCGTTGTTTGAGGCATGGGCCCTGGTGACCGCCTAGTTTTGAGGCGCCTCAAAACTAGAAGGGTGGGTGGGAAACAGTCGTTGTTTGAGGCATGGGCCCTGGTGACCGCCTAGTTTTGAGGCGCCTCAAAACTAGAAGGGTGGGTGGGAAACAGTCGTTGTTTGAGGCATGGGCCCTGGTGACCGCCTAGTTTTGAGGCGCCTCAAAACTAGAAGGGTGGGTGGGAAACAGTCGTTGTTTGAGGCATGGGCCCTGGTGACCGCCTAGTTTTGAGGCGCCTCAAAACTAGAAGGGTGGGTGGGAAACAGTCGTTGTTTGAGGCATGGGCCCTGGTGACCGCCTAGTTTTGAGGCGCCTCAAAACTAGAAGGGTGGGTGGGAAACAGTCGTTGTTTGAGGCATGGGCCCTGGTGACCGCCTAGTTTTGAGGCGCCTCAAAACTAGAAGGGTGGGTGGGAAACAGTCGTTGTTTGAGGCATGGGCCCTGGTGACCGCCTAGTTTTGAGGCGCCTCAAAACTAGAAGGGTGGGTGGGAAACAGTCGTTGTTTGAGGCATGGGCCCTGGTGACCGCCTAGTTTTGAGGCGCCTCAAAACTAGAAGGGTGGGTGGGAAACAGTCGTTGTTTGAGGCATGGGCCCTGGTGACCGCCTAGTTTTGAGGCGCCTCAAAACTAGAAGGGTGGGTGGGAAACAGTCGTTGTTTGAGGCATGGGCCCTGGTGACCGCCTAGTTTTGAGGCGCCTCAAAACTAGAAGGGTGGGTGGGAAACAGTCGTTGTTTGAGGCATGGGCCCTGGTGACCGCCTAGTTTTGAGGCGCCTCAAAACTAGAAGGGTGGGTGGGAAACAGTCGTTGTTTGAGGCATGGGCCCTGGTGACCGCCTAGTTTTGAGGCGCCTCAAAACTAGAAGGGTGGGTGGGAAACAGTCGTTGTTTGAGGCATGGGCCCTGGTGACCGCCTAGTTTTGAGGCGCCTCAAAACTAGAAGGGTGGGTGGGAAACAGTCGTTGTTTGAGGCATGGGCCCTGGTGACCGCCTAGTTTTGAGGCGCCTCAAAACTAGAAGGGTGGGTGGGAAACAGTCGTTGTTTGAGGCATGGGCCCTGGTGACCGCCTAGTTTTGAGGCGCCTCAAAACTAGAAGGGTGGGTGGGAAACAGTCGTTGTTTGAGGCATGGGCCCTGGTGACCGCCTAGTTTTGAGGCGCCTCAAAACTAGAAGGGTGGGTGGGAAACAGTCGTTGTTTGAGGCATGGGCCCTGGTGACCGCCTAGTTTTGAGGCGCCTCAAAACTAGAAGGGTGGGTGGGAAACAGTCGTTGTTTGAGGCATGGGCCCTGGTGACCGCCTAGTTTTGAGGCGCCTCAAAACTAGAAGGGTGGGTGGGAAACAGTCGTTGTTTGAGGCATGGGCCCTGGTGACCGCCTAGTTTTGAGGCGCCTCAAAACTAGAAGGGTGGGTGGGAAACAGTCGTTGTTTGAGGCATGGGCCCTGGTGACCGCCTAGTTTTGAGGCGCCTCAAAACTAGAAGGGTGGGTGGGAAACGGCCTCTGTCTGAGGCATGGCCCCTGGTGACCGCCTCAGCGGACCCCATCCATGACCCCCTCGCTCTTACCCCCTCGCTCTTCTCCCCCGCCTTTACCCCTTCGGCTGCTACTCCCCCCCATGGGAGCACTGCTGCGCCTCCCCTTGCTCGGACTGAAGATGAGAAGGGGGGATGCGTGAGCATGAGGGTGCATGTGACTGTGTGCATATATGCATGCTATGACCCCCCCACTCCCTCTCTCCCTCCCATCAGGGATCCCCGAGCGGACGGCAAGGGGTTTTTCCGACCAGCAAAGGAAGGGGACGAGTCGACTCACGAATCTCCCCTCTTTACCCCTCTTTATCCCTCTTTATCCCTCTTTTCCCCTCTTTACCCCTCTTTACCCCTCTTTACCCCTCTTTACCCCTCTTTTCCCCTCTTTACCCCTCTTTTCCCCTCTTTACCCCTCTTTACCCCTCTTTTTTTCTCTCTCCCTTCCATCAGGTCGAGCTCCTCGAGTGGACGGCAAGGAGTTTTTCCGGCGAGCAAGGTACCCACCCACGCATTCCTTGCCCCACCCCTTTCTTTCACTCTCGTCTGGTCTCGCTCCCTTGCTCCCTTGCTGGTCTGCTTGTGTTTTCTAGGTTTGAAACCTCCTCGCCACTTCTCCTTTCTAGTGTTTTCTCATGTCCCATGACCCATTAACTAAGTCTCAGCAAACTTTTGCACTCTCCCGCTCCTCTTGTCCATCCCCCTCATCTTGTCGCGAGCTGCCTGTCTGTTTCTGAGACGCAAACGAACCCTTCACCCACCCCCCCACCCACTCCCCTCACCCACCCCCCACCCACCCCCCCACCCACTCCCCCACCCACTCCCCCACCCACAACCCTAACCCACTCCCCCACCCACTACCCTAACCCACTCCCCCACCCACTACCCTAACCCACTCCCCCACCCACCCACTCCCCCACCCACTATTCTTTCACCCAACCCCCCCACCCATCCTCCACCCTCTACCCTGACCCACTCCCCCCTCCCCCCCTCGGCTATCCGCAGGAACCGTCTGTCCTACGAGCAATTCAGCCTGCTCCTGGCGAACATCAAGGAGCTCAACGCGCACAGGAAGACGCGGGGCTCTCACCCCCGCCGGAAAGCCCCTTCTCCCCTCTCACCCCCCCCCCTTTTGGCCCTCTTTTCTTGCTCCCTCTCCCGGCAGGAACCGTCTGTCCTACGAGCAATTCAGCCTGTTCCTGGCGAACATTAAGGAGCTCAACGCCCACAGGAAGACTCGCGAGGTGAGAGGGGCTTTAAGGTGTCTAGCATGGTGTGTCCTGGTTAAAGCCGGTTGTGTGAGAGCACGACTGTTTCTGGCGAACATTAAGGAACTCAACGCCCACAGTAAGACTCGCAAGGTGAGTCATCCCTCACACTTTCCTTATTTTTCCTCCTATGTTTCCCCCATTGTCAATCCTCCGCCTCCTTTCCCTTGTAGCTTTCATCATTTACTTTTCCTTTTTTTCTAAATCTTTTATTGGTTTTTCTCCTGACAACAAGCCTTCTCCTTATTCTGAGACTTTGAAGAAAACAGAGGGAGCTGTTTCGCCCATTTCTTTGAAAATAAATTCCTAGAAAACATGGTTTCCTGTGCATCATTTCTTTTTTTAGGTGCCTCAAGATATTTCTCCTCACCCCTCTCGCCCTGCGTTGATTGAGAAACCCTGAAGAAAGCAGAGAACAAGGACCTCTTCCTCGTTTGCTCTTGAGGCGCCTGGAAAGAATCCCCTCATCCCTTCCGTTCTCCCTTCGCCCTCGTGTGTTGTTTGAGCAGGAGACTTTGAAGAAGGCAGAGGAGATTTTCGGGCCCGACAACAAGGACCTCTATGCCTCGTTCGAAACCCTGCTCAGCCGCCATCTCCCCACATAGCACCCTTCTTCACCGCACAGCACCGCACTGAACTGGATTACACTGCACTGCGTAGAACCACACAGCACCCAAGGAGATCTTTGGGCCAGAGAACGAGGACCTCTATGCCTCGTTTGAGACCCTGCCCAGCTGCCACCTCCCCGCTTAGCAATGCACTGCTCTGCACCGCATCAAACTGCACAACACCACATCGTATGTAGCAGCATCGCACCGGACAGCACCGCCTCATACTGCTTATCAACCATGGGGATGTTTGGGCCTGATCAGGTGCTGCCTTCACCTAGAACAACTGGTACCCTTTCCCATGGTGCTCTTGGTGCTCATGGTGCTCATGGTGCTCTTGGTGCTCATGGTGCTCTTGTTACAGATAGGGATATCTATTTTCCCTTTGCCTTCGCAAGGAATACACCCGCTGCAGCCAGCCTCCTCCGTTACCCTAGCGCGTCTTGTGACTAAAGCTGTATTCTTTAGCATTAGACTGGGAACACGGAAATGGACTGCATGCATCATTCTGGACAGGCTGGACAAAAGAGCAAATTGACCAGAAAGAATCTGCAATAGTATAACATGCTATTGTATTTATGGAACATCTCTGTTTCGGCACCAGACTTCCTTAGGTCTCCAGTGTGCATTGTGTTCAAAAATTATAATAATGTTAGGGGTAAACGTGTGCATGCGTTATATTCCCAATCTGCATACTCAATACATGGCAAGACTCTAAAAAGAATCGATAATCACCTGAGCCTCGCTTACAGGACGCGAGAGGCATCACTAAAACACCCTGCCTTCGTCCTGCTACACTGCACACCCATTTCGCCTATACTATTCTACGTGTCAAGAATCAGTATTGAAAATAAAAACTCCTCTTTTAGCTGCTAGCGAGGAAGTTTTTGAACCAGATGGCGGAGGCCTTGGGGTACCGAGGCTTGAGCGGATGGGTGAAATTGACATAGAGCATGCCGAACCGCTGCGTGTAGCCCTGCGACCACTCCCAGTTGTCCATCATAGACCATGCGAAGTAGCCCTGCACGTTCACTCCGTTGCTGGAGAAACAGGGGAGGGGGAGAAAGAGGATGGAGTGAGTGAGTGGGTGTGTGCTAAAAGTGTGGGCAGTGCGACCACTCCCAGTTATCCATCGCAGACCATGCAAAGTAGCACTGCACATTCACTCCGTTGCTGGGAAAGGGCAGGGAAGGGAAAAGAGGCGGGGAGGGGAGGGGAGACAGGCGGATGAAAGGAGTGAGTGGTTTAGTGGAAGCGCTGGTTGTAGCCCTGAGACCACTCCCAGTTGTCCATCATTGACCACCCGGCATGACCCTGCACACATTGCGGGAGAGCACAGGGGAGAGCACAGGGGACAGCACAGGGGAGAGCACAGGGGACAGCACAGGGGAGAGCACAGGGGACAGCACAGGGGAGAGCACAGGGGAGAGGGAGAGCAGAAAAAAGGGGTGTGTAATGCAAGTGTAGCCCTGCGACCACTCCCAGTTGTCCATCATCGGCCACGCGAAGCGACCCTGCACACATTCACTCCGTTGCTGGGAGTAGACCGGGTGGAAGGGGGTAAACATGGTGTTTTTGAGAATTCTCAAAAACACCCTGCAAAATCGGGGGTAAACATGGCGAGCCGCTGTGTACTACAAGCGACCACTCCTCCACTCTGTACCCACCCACCCATAGAGCATGCCAAGCGCTGCATGTAGCCTGGACGTAGGATCTCCTAGCAGCAAGACGAATCCAGACAGAAACGTACTTTGTTGAAGTTGACCCTCGGCACATCACACAGCGCCTTGACCATGAAGTACTCGCTAAGAGTACACTTGGTAACATATACAGCCACTGAACAGTAAAATAACTTACTTTTTGGCGTCCAACACGTTTTGGAGGTAACTCTTATGGAAGTTGACCCTCTGCACGTCGCAGAGCGCCTTGTCCATCGTGATTCCCTTCACATTGTACTCGCTAACACCGTTCTCGGTAACAATTACAGCAGCGTCCTTGCCATATCGGTTCTTTATCCACAGCAGCATGTTCTTCATGGACTCGGGGGCCACGTAGAGCCATTTCGAGGAGGTCTGTAACGAGGATGAGAACAGGGGAACAGCAGAGAAAAGAACCGCAGGTGAGTTGTTACGCTGGACAAAAAAAGAAAATGAGCCAAGGAATACGTTGAAAAGAATTGATACGCCAAGGGGTGTAGAAATGATCAGGGGTATGGGCGGGGAATAGAACCTAGATTGTACCGCCGTGGGCTTCAGATGGAATGAAGCGAGCGAAGACAGAAAAGAAAGGAATGGAGTACAGTACAAATGATTGTAACGGGTAACGGGGTAACAGTGACGCTTACCGGCTCGCCAACGAAGCTGCCGGTTCGGGGGTTCCTGGCTGCGCACACACGGGGTAAAGGGCAGGGGAGATGGACGGACAGATTTGGGGATGCGACCGAAGGGGAGGATGATTCTGGTGTCAGCAGACAACATCCTGGGGAGGAGGGCGGATAGGGCGGGAAGGGCGGAAAGGGCGGAAAGGGCGGAAAGGGCGGAAAGGGCGGAACGGGCGGAACGGGCGGGAAGGGCGGGAAGGGCGGGAAGGGCGGGAAGGGCGGGAAGGGCGGAAAGGGCGGAAAGGGCGCAAGGTGTGACCCCTTTGATGCCAGGGAAGGGAGGTCTGTTCTTGCAGCATGAAGCAAATTTGAAGCAACCCCAATCTTCCAAGTATATCCTCGTTATACTCACGCGAAGTGGAGACGCGGGCGTCGGTCCACGGAATTCCAGGTCCCGCGGTGCTGCCCGGCCAAGCGTACACCGCCGAGTAGAAATCCAGCCCTAGAAAATCCGTGGCGCCTTTCAGCCGTCGGATCTCCTTGCGGTTGAATTTCGGCATGCGATCGCCAACGAAATAACGCATGGACTTCGGGTAACTCCCGTAACGGATCGGATCCGCGAACCACCCGTACGCGAACTCCATCCCCCGCTGTGCCGCGTTTTTGCTCGCGCGCGTCTCGTCAGCCGCGTAGTGATAAACGCAATCCAGCGCGATTCCGATCCGACCGCCCTGCTGCTTCTTGTACTTCTGGCGGTAAATCTGGACCGTCAGCGAATGCGCTTTCAGGATGTTGTGCGCCACGATGTACGGCTCGGTGGTCGAATTTCCCACGGAGCAAAGCGTGCGGTCCGAGCAGCGGCCCGGAGCCATGCCGCCCGTGCCGTAGCCTTGCACTGCGATCTGCTGCGGCTCGGCGAAGGTGATCCATGTCTTGACTCTGTCCCCGAATTTGCGGAAGCACGCTTCGGCGTAGTTGGCGTAACTCCGCCTGAAATAACGAGCAACGGCGAGAGACCAAAAAGAACATCAGCACAAACGAATGATATAAGGACAATACATTTCTTGGTGTGGTGTACAAAAGTGCAGACACAGGCACACGGTGCTAGTATCGGGGATACTCACACAATGGTGTTGTTGAGCCAGCCCCCGTGGTCGCGCTCGAGAGGGTACGGCAAATCCCAGTGGTACAGTGTAACCACGGGCTCGATTCCGTTATCCTTCAACTCGTTAATGAAGTCGTTGTAAAAGCGTACGCCCTCGTCGTTCACCGCGCCGATGCCCTCTGCGCGTGCGTAGCAAAAACAGCGGGTTGGGAGGGGGGAAGACAGGAGGGACAGGGGGAGTGGGGGGAGAAGGGGGAGGGGGGCGTGGGGGGAGAGGGTGAACGGGGATGGGGAAAAGACTGGCGACAAAACGTGAGCAAACACCTTGGACGGATTCGAGAGGGGAGAGGGAGGGCATCCGTTGAGGGGAAATCTCGACGGGGGAGAGGGGGAGTGGGGGGGGTGGGGGAGGGGAGAGAGGCGAGGGGAGGAGGAGGGGAGGTGGTGCGGGTGGGGGAAAGGTGCCCGGAGTCTGAGGAGAACAACGTAAAGAGTCAACAGAGAACAGTGGGAAGGGGAGGGGAAAGGGGGGAGAGGGGGGGGGGGGGGGGGGTGTAGCAATTAGAGAGGGTGGGAAAGGGTGTGAAGCAAGGGAAATATGGCGGCTAAGAGCTGGCTTACCTGGCACGACACGCGGCCACGAGATGGAGAAGCGGTAGTGCTTCACCCCCATCTCCTTGAGAAACTTGACGTCCGTCTGCGCACCGAGAACAGGGGCAGGGAGAGAGGAGAGGATGGAGCGAGGGTTTGAGGCGGCTGTTTGAATCGACTCGAAACATGCCCGATGGAGAAGCGGCAGTGCTTCACACCCATCTCCTTGAGAAACTTGACGTCCGTCTGCAAAGCGGACACAGGGGTAGGGAAATCAAAGGGTGGCGACACGGTTTGAGGCGGCTGTTTTAGTCGACTCGAAAGACCACAAGGGCAGCAGGCGTAGTGGGGTTGCGGAGAGGAGGGGAGAGGGCTGCGGAGGTGAGGGGGAGGAGAGGGGGGTTGGATGGGAGCTGGATAGCGAAAGAGTTCATGGGCGTTTCTGCTCACCTTGTAGCGGTCGTAGCTCTGAGTCGCTTCAGCGGGCTTGGAGCCATCGGCGATCGCTCCAGTCATCATGGAATACGCGTCCCAGATGCTCGGTCCGCGGCCGCCTTTGTACGTGCTGCCCTCGACCTGCGTCGCACTCGTAGTCACGCCGAATGCGAAATTGTCGCCGAAGTCGACAGATCGCACGCCGTTGGACGACGAGTCCGTTTGTGCGAGACAGTTCTGCGACGAAAGATGGGAGGGAGGCAAGTTGCGATGAGATTAGGATCGTAGGGTGTCGCGTAACGTAAGAAATGTAAACGCATGATGAGGAGGAGAAAAGTTGGGATGAGCTTTAGGATCATATGGTGTCGCGTAACATAAAAGTGAATACGCATGAGGGCGGTCGAGCGAGCGACCATGGAGCGTGTAAGCGGCTGATGCATACGAAGTCGCAGTAACGAAAGAGACTGTCAGAAGTACTTCCCAAGATAAAAGTACCCGAGATAGAAACTCAAGGTGTGGCAAGTCACCTTCAGCATGTAGTTGCTGAACTTGAACGCGGGGGATGGGTCATCCGCTGCCGCAAATGGCGGGCAGGAGGTTAACACTGCTACTGAGAGAGTGAGTGCGAGCAACAGCCCGCACATCCGTGTGCCCACCATTCTCTCCTAACTCTTCTGAGTGCCTAACACAAGCAGCAAACTTCCGTGGAGCTCTGTGCACTGCGAGTTTTCGTGGCTACGCGACCGACTCTGTCAGCGACACTAATCAGAATATGACTACCGAGATATGCGTTGGTGTTTGATAAATTCCTCTGCCTGTATGTTGGGGCCTAAATGGTCGTTCACTTAGTGTTCGGAAATGTTCGGCCTGATCGCTCCTAACACGCGGCAAGGCAGCCCATTCCTGCTGCTCTTCTACACCCGACTGTGTATTTGCTTGCGGCGGCACAGCACTGTCGCATCCCAGTCAAGTCAGGTTCGAATGCTGGGGAATTGCGAGGCATTTTCAATGTGGGGCGAAGTCAACAAATTTGCGCGGAATCCTGTGAGTCGAATCGCGCATTTCATCCCGATTGCCCGTGTCTGTCCGGGCAGGACATTGTCAGGGAGCCGCCCTGGCGAATGACACAAGCCGCTGTCTGGCTACGTGGCGCGCCGCGTGACAGCAAGCCAGCGAACCTCCCCACCCGCATGCGCGGATCCGAATTCCCGCTCCGGTTCATTTCGGCAGGTCCTTTTGGCAGGAGTTTGCGCCAAAATTCGTAGTGCAGGCGAAATTTCGGCCTGGCTGCTTTTGACTGGATTCAGAAGTCTGACGTGAACATGCACAGAAAATGGTTCCCCCTGCGAAACCGGAACACCGTCAGCAAGGTCGTTTGGGCTGACGAACTCTCCGTTCCCTCCGTAACAGATCGCTAACAAAGTCGTGCAGTCGTTGTTAGAGGGCAGTGAAATTTTATAGACGAAGTGCTGCAAATTGGTGTAGAAACGACTGGACTCGGACTTGGCAGGTTGCAGCGGGTACGGCAAGAACCGTGAAAGGTTCAGGGTTTCTACTTTGAAGCCGCTATAGTCACGGTTCTGTGCTGGTTGCCAAACCCCTTGGAAAACCCCCGCCACTGTGTAAGTGCCTGATGACGTGCATTCCGTGGAATCTACACGACCTATGCTGTACAGGTTGCCAAAACCCTTGGAAAACCCCCGACCACTGCGTAAGTGACTGATGACGTGGATTGGGTGGAATCTACACGACTGTCTTCTGTACAGTTTCGGATTTGCCTTGCCTTGAACGCAATCCCAATTTCTATCGAATTCGGTGGTGCGACTCGTACATCGATTATGCGACTCGAACATTGGTTTGGGGGAAGTGAAGTCAATTCTGCTGCTGAATCCCTAGCGGTATAAATATGCTCGCTGCACCCAGTTCATTTCCATCTCATCAGTGTCAATTCAGTTCATTCGTCGTGATAATCCGCCTGCACAGCGCAACCCTCTGCTGCAAGACTCCTCTCGTTTCCTGAGGGTCTTCTCTTCTTAAATCCAGACGCCAGCCTAGACTCTTTCTTCCCGCAGCTAGCTTGATTGCGAAGGTGTCGTGCAAACCCTTTCTCCCGAGAGAATTTCCCGCCAGGACCTAACTTCCAAAGTTCCAGCTGGCTAGCATCCTCAGCAGCGATGGCGACCGTCGATCTTGAGCTTCCCGAGGCATCTCACGGCTGGGATTCCCAATGCGCTCCTCGCATGACGAAGGCACAGCGCGCCAAGCTGAAGGCCGCATACAGACGAGGTAACGTGGAAGCTCTAAGGACATCCGCTTTATTAGCAGGAGCTAGGAGGAATAATCGAGCTTGACTTCAAGTTGACCGTGGTACCTTTCCCTCCCCCCTCCCCCCTATCTCCTCCGCAGATCATCCCAAGCAACTCGCGGAGGCCCCTGAATTCCCCACGAGTTATGGCTGCTGGAGGGAGCCCCCCGATTGGTGGGTGAAGGAGCAGCAGGACGAGCAAGAAAAATGGGCGCGCGTGGTTGGGCAATTCGAGGGGCACAGGGCCGTGGCTGAGAGGGTTCGTGGAACTTTCCAGAAGCAGCTGGTTTTGAGGAAGGCTGAGCGCGCGAGGAGCAAGGAGATCCGAAGCACCGGCCGCGAGAAAGGCGAAGGGCGAACTTTCTGAGAAAGGCGGCCTGAACTTTCTACGCTCACGGGGAAGCTTTCAGAAGCAGCAGCGGCGGCTCTGCACATTTTCTGCGGGTTGATCGCGTGAGGAGCAATGAGATCATCTCACCAGCCGCGAGAGAGGCGAACTGTCGAAGTGAGGGAATTCGAGTTCAGGAACGAATCTATATGGATTTCAGGAAACAAATCGATCTCTCGGAGCTTTCAGTTGGCCTATTACGGCGGCAACTTCAAGTTGTATGCGGGAGACAGGACGATGTGCTCGGGGAGAGAGAGCACCTTCGACTGTCCAAGTACACAGGAGTTTTTTCTTGTTTTTCTCCTGTTATTTGTACAATTCTTTCATTGACATTATTATTGTCATAACTTGGAAGTGCCTAGGGCAGGTGCTGAATGTACCCCCCCCCCCCCGGAAGATAGACAATGGACTTTGTATACTACTTTTTCTTTTCCTGCTTATGAATTCTCAAATCTGCTGCATCAGGTCTAAAAGATCCCTCTATATGGCGATGCACTTGGATGCACACACCCCTGTGCAATGCTGAGAAACTGCATGACGCCAGGGACATGGCAATGAAGAAGTGGTGGAGGTGTAGCCTAGGAGTATTCCACCTCAACTCAATATGGAGCCTAGGTGTAGCCTATGGAGTACTCACTGCTACTCTGCTGCTCTGCTTCCTCTGCTTCACTACTGCTGCTGGGTCCTCAAGATTGTATAGGTTTGTTGTCAAGTTGTTGTAAAGTGTCATAGTAATTCCTCCATGCTGATGTGTCTTCCTCTGCTGTGTTTGTTGGCCATGAATCAAGAGCAGTGATAACTGCTGCTATTGTACGTGATCTTGTTGGAACTGCAGTTGCACGGAAGTCGATGTCAACATTCTGGAAGTCAGTTTCTTCGGGATGTTGCCAACGTCCAAGAGATAGCACTCTCTCAGAAGATCCAGTAGTTCCTTGCGACTCGAATTGAAGAACAAAACCCCATACTGAGTGGCGGCTCTCTCGATGTAAGTGTTTGAATCATTATGATAAAGTTCTTTATCAATTGTTACACAGTTGCCTTGTGTTCTAATCTTATGTTGCGGGAGTTGAGCCATTGAAAGAAGGTTAAAGCCAAGTCCCTCGATGACAAGGACATTCGTAACGTGTAAGGAAAAACCTGTGTCCACGGAATCCAACATGACGCTCCCAATTGACTTTGCCATTATTGTTTGTCCATTTGCGACTATGACAGGTACTGGATGTCGAAGCGGACGTTGATGAGTAATGAAGAGCATCTTGGCAGAGCACATGTGTTGTCCACAGCAACTGTCAAGATACCAAGTGTTCGGTCCTGCAATGACCCGAGCAAGGTTAGCATAAACTTGAGGTAAAACCATGTTTTCAGGTTGCTCGATAGAGTTTTCGTCATCGTCGTCGTCGAAATCTGACTCTGTTGCATGAACTATTGTAACACAGAACAAAGAGCAACCTTCCGAACAACATTTCTAGTACCTAGTCCACCGACCCTTGGCCTTGATCACCACACACACCCTCCTAGGCATGTTATCTACGAGGTTAGTGCAAACCTTTGCAGGGATCTTCTCGCACTCTTCCTGGACCCAGCCTTTTGCATAAGGGGTTGAGAAATAGGAAAATTACGAAGGATTTTAGCGTATGCAAGAGTATTGTGCATGATTTCTGATTGAATGTTATCTCTGAGACTAGCCATGTTGAGGTGTGACCAAATATGTCATTAGCCAATTGGCCCTGTCTTTTCATGGATCGTCTTCGTCATACCGCGGCACGGTAAAACCACAAAAAGAGTGGGGAAAACTAGTGTATACACCGCGAAACTGAGGGTAACATAGCACGGTCGATTATGCACCCTTGCACTATAAAAACCACGCTAGGATCCCCAGGTCCGGTCATGGTGCAGCAGTCGAAGAAGTCGCGAATGTTTGGGGAGAATATCCGGGTTGAGGTCTGGTAAGTAAAAGGGTCACTCCCGTGCAACATACTCATGCTCTCCAAGCCATTCCAAGCCATTTGTCCCGCCTAGGCTTGGAATGACTTGGAGAGCATGAGTATGTAGCACTGGAGTGACCCTCCTTCTCACTAGATCTCAACCCAGATATTCTTCCCCACCAGTCAGGGCTTCTTCGACTACTGCACCGTGACGAGACCCGCAGATTTCAACATGATTCTAACAGTGAAAGGGTGCACAGTTGGCCGTGCTATGTTACCCAAAAATTTGTGGCGGATGTGCTGGTTTTTGGCACTCTGTTCATAATTTTACCCTACAACGGTACGACGAAGACGACCCTTGAAAAGACAGGACCAATCGGCTGATGGTCCCCTCTTTTTATGAAAAGACACACCTCAGTGTGGCTAGTCTAAGAGATAACATTCAATCAGAAAACATGCACAATACTCTTGCATATGCTCAAATCCTTCGCGATTTTCCTAGTGCTCACCCCCTTATGCAAAAGGCTGGGTCCAAGAAGAGTGCGAGAAGATCCCTGCAAAGGTTTGCACTAACCTCGTAGATAACATGCCTATGAGGGTGTGTGTGGTGATCAAGGCCAAGGGTCGGTGGACTAGGTACTAGAAATGTTGTTCGGAAGTTTGCTCTTTGTTCTGGAAAACAATTGTCCGGATGTACTCTTTATATATCTTTTGGCACGAAGTTAGATCCAGTATACTATTATGGATTTCAGTGTTGTGAACACATCCACTATATGCCCCTCCCAAAGCGTACCACCATAAAACATTAAAAGTTTATGCATAATGGTCGGAAATCCTGAAAACCTTAATTAATGCAAAACATCCGGACAATTGTTTCCGTCACTGTATTCGGTGATGTACCTTTTCGAGCCATTTGCGCTATGCACTCTAACTGCTATTGAAAAGACTGTTCGTGTGACTGAAACGGCTTGCTGACGTCATCATCCAGACGAGCGCTATTTGCTGACGTCATTCTACGGATGCTAACCACAGCGTAACTCGACAATATCTATCGAGATTACTTACAGAAATGCTTAAGTACGATTTTACCACAACACATCTCACCTGCAAGCTGGATTGCCTCTGCATCCTCATCGAGAGGTGCAATGGGGTGTGGTGATGTGCGGTGCAGAGAGGTAATGTGTGGTACACATCCCAAAATTGTGAGCCCCGAAATTGGGTTCCGATGGAGGGGCACGCGTGGGTATCACACAGCTCGTGCCTCGCAAGTTACCCCCAGCAAACCCGAATGTCACATGAGGGGTGTGGCGAATTCTGCGACATGGCGATTATGGTCGAAGTGTTTCGCCATATAA